GTAGTCTCTCAATTCTGAACATGTGACAGTACTCAATAGAGTATGGGACTCTACTGTGGACAATTAGGTGGCTTTCCAAATATAGATTGGTTTTTCCACTGAAATTAGAATTGTACATAATATAGGAACGACACCAATCTGACACCTGACAATGACACTTTGGGAATCTCTAATTAATGGGAGTACCATGAGAGAGGATCTCAGGCGTGAAATGGTTGTTGGTACAAACCTATGGTATAATTCGATTTTGATCTCAGAGCAAGATAATCCACTGAGAAAAGGACAGGATCAGAGTTGTTAGAATTTAGGACAACATGATTTTGATTTCTCCTAGCCAGCCAACTAGATGTGCCCGTCTATGCCTTAAATGGGATGGGGAGCTAGGTACCAAGTGATGGGGTTTAGGTGCAGATGTATACTGCACCGACTTGGTGTTTTGATTTTATTTTCTATTTTCGTAAGTTGGACTTAGAGGTATTTTATTGGTTAGTTTGAATAGGTAATTGTTTCGAGGCGTGAAATGTAAACTAAGCTTCCAATGAAATGATATCTAGTCTTATTAACTAAAACAGAAATAAATTTAGACCGAAGTAGTGAGTGATTAGAGCGAAGCATATAGACAATAGTCTCAGTCTAAAATCCCCTAATCGTTTGCTCATTACCAAGGGCTGAAGCTAAACTTCTTTAACATTTTGCATTTAAACGTTTTAACGTATTGTCATATTAACGTAAACGTCTCGTATAGTCAGCCTAGAGGAGACCGACTTTTACAATAGGTTTGAAAAATAAAAACATAAACTAATTTTTGTGATTGGTTCGCAGGCGAGAGCGTCAAGTTTAACGGACGCAGGCGAGAGTGGCAGGTTTAGTAGTCGCAGGCGACAGCGGCAGACTTAGTGGTCGCATGTGAGAGCCTCAGACTTAGTGGTCGCCGGCGAGAATCGCAGTCATAGTGGTCGCAAGACCCGGTCGCGGTTATAGTGGTCGCAGTCTTAACAAATCTCAAATATGTGGGAATCTTCGTCTTCTCCGATCTCGCAGAGATTGTGTCTGAAGATTGCGCCTGGACCGGTATGCAACAACAATTGCGGGACGATGAAGTCCCCATGTGATATTAGTCATCGTTTGTAAACGTGCAAGTGTTTGTACACAGCGCTTTCTGCCAAACAATTCGATATTATGTAGGATTGGGTTTTTGGGTTAGTTGACATCGTGGCTACATCGTAGTGTCTAATTACTCTCTATCATATTTTTGTTGGAGCGTGTGGCAGTTTACTAAAAGCTTAACGAGAACTGGCTCTTAGCTGTTATTTCGTAATCAGTGAGGAACAAATATGGGAAACAGTGATGCAAGAGAAAATTGTTGTGTGTACTCATTATAAGCCGATGTGCTGGGTGTGAGGTTTAACCGAACACTACCAGGGCTACAATATATGTAGTGTGTTCAGACTCAGTGCAACAGTTGGAACAATATCAGCACGTATTGTATCGGTTGACATACCATTGTCAACATCATCGAATTCGTAGCGATTCTTTTACTTTTCAATTTCTTTCAGTGTGGTTATAGCAGCAATATCGGAACCAGATGCATTGGAATAACAGCTATGATGTATGCTGGCAATATCTGTACAATCGGATTACTTTGTCCTCAGTAATCACGCCAGAGTTTTGCAGTAGTATGTCAACAAAGGGTAGTTGTAGAAGTATTGTTTCTAGTTCAAGTTTGATTATAATATCCCTATAGTAACAATTATGGTGTTTCAAAAATCGGTATAAAGAACAACGCACGCCTTGATTTATGTATGTTGACATCTTTTATAACTCCAATCAGTATAAAATCAGATGCAGAGGTTGGGCAAGGACTCATTGTTAATGAGCTTTGGTTGTAATCCAACGCTGACTGTTAGCAGTTTTAGGGTTTTAGGGGTTTAAACTGTATATCCGATTTGAATGGGTGTGCTAGACAAATCAACATCTTCTACACATACGTGAGGAGCGATAAATGACTAAGTATCTGTTTGAAAACGAATCCAACTCTTATTTAATATCTGTAAGGAATATTCTTCTTCTTATTTGTTTTGTATGCGATACAATCCAAGAAATGATTTATCATTCACATGCTTGCAGTGTAATTCGTAAAAATCTTCGTTTTCATCAATATAGTAGTCGCATAAATTCCCACGGATAATTATAGAAGTTCGATCAGCCGAACATTTGAAACTGGATAAGTTAGTAAATTCAAAATAGTCGTTCTCACCAGGACTCTGCACTTGATAGTAACGACTCCCGGCACAAGTCCTAATTTAACTTCTGTAGGATCCAAGCTATCTAAGTAGCTGTTCACAAAATCCTGTAGATTTCATCAGCCGGATCTGGCATTCGCTTGTTCAATAGTTTGACGTTGAATTGATACGCATGGAACTAAGGCCAGTAGATTCGAACTAAGGCCAGTAGATTCATATAACATTTACACAGAGGAACTGAAACTTGATTCTAGCAAGGTATGAGCGATATTAGTACGTGTAGGTTCAGTATGTGACATTTCAGTATCATATTAGAGTCTGTCATTTACAGTGTTTGCTATAGAGTTAAACGAACCTATAGCGCTATTACAGGTTGACACAGTGGTTACGAGCGTCTGAGCACCTGATTGCACAACACAATGGGTATCTGTTTGAAATGACTCAGTAGTTGGGTTTGAATCAGTCGGTGTACTATCGCGTGTATCCTGATCACCAAGGTAAACTGAAGGCTTTATTGCAGCTCTTGCTATACGATGAGTATAACTTTTCATATTCTTTACCAGCAATGATTTTTCTGGCCTATTTCCTATTTTGTACTTTATTTTTCTCATTCATTGCGATATTGGTGTTTTATATACACCTAAACATACGTAGGTCATGTTCAGTAATAGATTTCGGTTCATATTCGTCGTCATGGGTATCTGTTTGAAATGACTTACTAGTTGAATTTGAATCAGTGCAATCTCAAATTCGTACACTCTGAATTTATTGAATAAGTATTGTTGACTAAACGATTTTCTAGCAGACTGAAGATTAAACCAAATCTTACCCAGCTTATATAGGGGTTGTCCTCTTATCACTACGTCATCCAAGGCTCTACACTTAACTACTAAAATATTCACCAGTCAGAGTGCTTGAGTATAATCTCCCCACAAGTCAGAATACCCTAATCTGTTTGCTCTGTATTATACCCTGAACTTTTCGAACTCTGAATGGTCGAGTTTACATCAGTTGGAATGGTATTTCTTGCTCTACGATGAGTACACTTACTCCTCTTTTTCATCAATATTAATTTTTCCGGACTATATCTTAGTTCGCGCTTTTTATGTCTAATTGATTGTGATATTGCTTTTTTGTATACACGTCTGCGTGCACAAGGACTTTTGTCTGAACATACGTCGGTCAGGTACATTATACATTTCGTTGCTGTGTGCACAGCATAGCGGTTGTGTAAATAATTAAAAGGAACGCTCATCGAGAGTGTATTTCTCAGTGTGATACGCCAATGTGTTTACAAAACACCTTATTTATTCTGAACAGTTCCAAAATCAATTGTGTGCTCGGTGACTGTTTGCACACCAGAACGAGAAATCAATTTAACTGCCAAAAAGCAGGTCGTGTGTATGGTAGTGAGGTATTGGTTCAAAGGGTGGTGGACCATTCGATTGGTCCAGAACATTTGGGTTCAGACTAGCGGGTACTTTGTCGAAGGAATCAATTAGGGGTTTAAAAGGCATTGCTATGAGGTCACTGCAACCTAGCCCAAAGTAACGTAGAGGTCGTTTTAAAATGCTTTATAGAATGCTTCGGGGTACAAGGTAGATCATGAGTCTTGTAGTCAATGCCCATTGAGACAATATAATCAGGTATATATTCGCAGACGCATTGTGAGGTACTATGTGTGAATAGTTTGTATTATATTGATAGAAGCTGTTAGCTTAACATACTGTTGATCTGTAAACTGTAGTGGAACATCGAGACTTTAGTGCGTACACTATATAATCACCAAACTCTCAAGTCTGCGTTTGCAGAAGAAACCTGAGATCCACAATACTATATGAAGAGTATATGAACATTCTACTTGTTTATCAGTTATCATTTATCAATTGTCAAAAGAACTTTGTACTTTTTGCCAGCTAATATATGGTTATTGGTTCATTAAAACGATCATTCTCACACTACTCATTGGAATCGAATAAAAGCGCAAAATTGTGGAATATATAGTCTCGAAACTGGCTCTGAATAAGAATCATTTGTGAGCTCTGTGACATAATGGTATCTGAGGTTGGATTGTCCTGTGCAAGGGTTTGTGATATGAGAGAACGACACATCGTTCTGCAGTTATAGAGCCACTATTACAATGAATACAACCCGTATACGATGTAGGTTTCAATTCGCACAAAATCTGTAAAACTCGTGCAAATGAGGCGCACTTTGTATATGTACGTGTCGTTTATCGTTTATATTGTATGTTGTATACTGTGAATCTATGTACTGGACCCTAGAATACATACAAAGTATCACGAAGCGGGACGTTCAAACAGTATGTGACTATAATTTACACAAAAATCTTAGACACGCATTGAACGTCTGACTGATTCTAGTACTGATTCTAACATTATACTAGTTACGCATTGCTGTATAGTAATACTACATACATAAACATTTTTGAGATCTTGTGGCGAAGGATGCGGCGCTAGCCGGTCTTTCCTGTCTGAGTGAGATCAGGGCACAGTCAGCCACGAAGGAAACAGCGCATCTAATATCGCCTTCCAATTCGTGACGAATTTAGCTGCTGAAAATCCCCTAACCAGGGAGTATCACACACAGTGTGCACAGACGTTCCCGTCAAGGCTAGGCCAAACCAGACCGCTCCCGCCAACCAGGAAACCCGACTGAACCAAGCTGACCGTGGCGCTTAGCCCCAACCACATTTAACAAGGAAGAGCGGCTTAGGTACAGTATGGGCTAAGGTAGTTAGGACGCCATACGGGCCATAACGCCCGCTTTTTCTGCGGGTGTTTTAAACCAGTATCCCATGTACGCTCTGGACTTCCATTCGGTGGCCGCCGCTATCTCGTCGTGCTCGGCTCCAGCCTCTTTTAGAGCCGTCAGACCACCAATGCGATAGCTGTGGCCTCGATACCCATGCATGTTGGTGTGTGCCACCTGAAATGCCTCCTGCATGTCTATCTTGAACTGGGGTTTGCTGTACGGTTTGCCCTGGAGAAAAAGATATGACTTGTGATGTATGCTGCAATGGTTAGTGCTAACCATGTGCGTAGCGCACGGCCTGGACATATGTGTGTCTTATGGTCTAAGTGCGGAAGACATATATCTGATGGAACTAGGGTGGTCTTCGTCATGGGCAAACGTACTATAGTGTAAGATGATGTCTAGAAGACGTATTGACGCGACATGCGCACGTGCTGCGAGTATGCTTCGTAAGCGTTCTCTACTGTGAATACCGATATGCGTAATATGCCAAATATAGCCATGCATGACGCAGCCCAGAATCTAATACACCGATGTTCATTCAGCAAGGGATGTAGAGCGGGGTAAAATACCGTGTCTTGCATTACTGAGGGGATGGGTTTGCGTAATCGTCGCTGTGTTAACTTGCCATTGATGGCCATGTACCTCGTGATGGCTTTGATTAGGTGTGTAAGTTGGTAGCTATTGGTATGTTTGTCCTTGAAGTTGGCTGTTTTGTATAGAGCGCGCACATGTGACAAGTAGGCATGTATGGAATTGTGTTGTAATCCCTGCATGCCGAGCCAAGTGACATAGTACATTATCACCATTGGGTCTAAGGGTAGTTCATAACTATATAAATGTGACATACTTAGCCATCCCATATGGAAGATGAAGTCAAGATATCGCCGCTGTACGCTAAGACCTGTGGCAGCAGTTCGTGGAGCGCGGCCATATGGGGCCATGAGGCTGACGTGTGATCGTAGGCTGCTGGTGTGGTCCTATCTGAACCAAAGGGGAGAGTAATTTTACCTGTGCATGCGGATTGATAGGATGTGTGCCAATAAAGAGTATGTATATTAATCATATGAAATTTATTTACAATATGGAAGTAATTCCGGGTGAATTAAGTATGTACACTGGGTGATAATGGGGGAGGCTGGTCATCTGGTATCTGGGAACTGCTTACACCGGCGGGTGTCGTTGTCTAAACTTAGGCTCGCTATGTTGCACGAAACGGTTCGTGGACTCTGGCAGGCGTCTCATACGTGTGTGTAGGATGCGAGCTTCGTCTGGTACGTTACGAGATATCGCGTCGGCCACGCTATTGTCGACACCTTTGATATGCGTAGCTGCTACTCGCAGATCGAAGTGTATTTCTAATAACGCAAGTATTTTGAGCGATCTATGCATATCCTCGGCGTTGGAATGACCGCGGGCTATTGCTTGGCATGTCGTCATATTATCGCAATGTATCATGACTGAGCGACCCCGCCAGTGATGTGCAAAGGTTGCTACTGAATATACTAGAGTAGGTAATTCTAATGCATTAATGTATAGTTGCGTGTGTGACTGAGATGATAGACACAGCCGGCTATGATGTGGCCGCCAGGGGAGGTAAAAGCATCTTCCCGTTGCATCTATGCCTCCTCCCCCGTAAGCGGTGCAGGCATCGACGTAGCAGCCTACCGCCTTGATCGGGTACGTCAGTAATCTGGTCCCACTCCAAAGTTGGAATACTACATACCACTCGCTGATTGTATCTCGAACATCCTGCGTGACGCGAACATGGTGGTAGCTTGGACCACTAATTGGAAGTGAGTAGATACCCTCTATCAAGGGCTGCTTGCGGAAGGATAGCAGCCAGCCAGTTCAGGGATCCAGCTAACTGTTGACAGTATTTGATGGTTGCTCTGGTCCTCTTCAGCCAACTACGCAGTAGATCCTCGTACTTTTTGCGCTTTTTACCTGAGATGGATACTGTGCACAGAATGGAGTCGAAGATGACTCCGCAATATTCTGCAGAGGTGACCGCTTTCACCGTCTTATGATTCGCTACCGGCTCTCCTAGTCGCGCGAGAAGTGTAAGCAGCTGATTCAACTGACTTACCGCTATGTTGATGTCCATTGCTTTATGAACCACCAAGAAATCGTCTACGTATCGCTGAATCCATAATGCCAGATGGGTAATAATAATGTAATCTAAAGCCGCACCGAGTTGTTCATACAAAGGAGGCTGAAGGAAAATTCTGTGCTATCTCTTTTGTTTGCAAGCATCGCCGGCCTGATTGGAATCGTGACTACCGTACTCGTGTGGAACAGTATAACAGAAACAACAGCTACCAATACCGCTACGATAATCACGATGATCAGGACCGACAGGACTACCGAGTAGATAGGTACAATCAACGCGACTACGACGATGGTAGATATTCACGGGATATCCAACGTTCCCAAACATTAACAGAACATACATATCCCAGAGCAATCGACGCCAAGATCATGAAGGCAGACAGGACAAAGCTATGTTAGCACAAGTATCTGATGACCAGTTACCTGCAAACAGACATATTGTATTCTCCACAATTAACCCTACAATCGACAACAAGGAGGTGAATGATCAGTCAGATAGAGATTCCAGAGGTGGATACTGACTAGCTTGCGATAGTTGCGCCAGCATACACATACTTCCCTATAAGTACCACAAACATCTCGTCAGCAACATGCGCATTAATGACCGTTATGCGCTCGAAGTAGCTGATGGTACAATCATTTATCCGAAGTATGTGGCTCAGCTAGGAAACTTGGGGGATGTACTCATTTATTATTATTAAAGCTGCACTACTAAGTATCAACCTACTCTCGAGAGACACTACTCATTTGAATTCACCAACAACATGATGTACATATTACTACCAAGCTTTGGAACCATAGCAGTACATGAAAAGCACAGAATATACTGTGTGCACATCGACGACATAGCTATGCCTACAGTGGAACCATCGCTGGAGAAAGCCCACCAGATTTCATGGCACAACAGGCTCGCGCACCCCAGCTACGTCCCAAAAGATTTATCCTACATAAGGCAACCAGAGGAACGATGCAAAGCATGCACTATTGCTAATTAGAAGAACAAGAATGCAAACAAGGAACGACAGCACGAACCTGCTACAGTGCCTCTCGAGCTAGTCTTCGTGGACATAATAGGGCCGTTCGTAATTTCAATAGGATCCAGCACCCACTCCGTATCAATCATAACACGATTTTTCTAGCATGGCCAAAGAGTATCCGATCCGCGATCTAAAAGCGACAACAATTCTGGACGCTATGTTACACACCTTCGATAAATGGTACATCTTAAGTCATCGCCGAGTTCAGTGCATACAAATGGATCGAGGCTCACAGTTTACAGCAAACGTAACGAGGCGCATGCTTGCGTATGTGGGATACTACTCAAGGTACGCACCTACGGCCACGCCACAATACCATGGCAAGGTAGAAAGACGCCATGGTACACTGGTCCCTAGAATGCTTGCACAACTGAAGTATGCACGACTACCGACTACTATGTGGGCTGAATCACTGATTCAAACCACTAACGAGAAGAGCTCATCCCCATACGAGAAGTTTACAGGATACGCATTTCCGATAGATATGTTCAGAACATTCGGGTGTCACATCGCATACAAGAACCGTGATCCAGACGGCAAACTCGACGACAAAGCACTGAATGGCATTCTTCTTGCGCAACCCTTGGACACAACACCGGACTCGTATCATATATACTCACCTCTGACCAAGCGTATAATACAAAGCCGAGACGTCTACAAATTCGAAGATGAATTCTTTGTCTGGGAAGACAACAAATGTACAACCGCTAACGCACCACCTGACACTACGAACAGTAGTACACTCCTCCAGATCGAGAATGGCGATTTCCAAACAGACGCAAGGACAACATCGACAACGGCAGATATGCTTAGCCAACAAGCCCAGCCAACTGTGATGCACAAGTCGAGCAACTCAGAACAACTACAAATAACTTCATCATCAACACAACATCCTGCTGAGAGCGATATACATACCGTCGAGTCGGAGGATACTGCAGCGACTACCAAAACACAACATGATCTCGAAGCAACCATAGCTAGAAGAACGGCAGAATGTCGCCAAGTCTCTCGAGAACTGCAGGACCTTGCGATAGATGATAATAATGTCGACTGGTATCACGATAGCCGCCGTAAGAGACGAACTCCTAGCACTACGCACGCTGTCAATTCAGCAACTGCAGCAATGGAACCGAAAACATACAAAGGTATATATGAGATGTCAACAGTTTTTGAGTGAGGTAGGCCGAGGGTGTATCGTATTGTCGAATGTCCATGTCATATATGGAGAGCTTGATGATACAGCGCAAGGCATTCATTCTGGTTGACAAAAAACCGCGAGAGAAATCATTATTCCCCTCTCGATGGGGTTTCAAGGTAAAAATGGATGAATCAGGACAAGTCACACGACTCAAATCACGTCTGAACGTAGCAGCATTCAATGCAAAACAGGGAGTCGATTACGATGAAAGCCATGCCCCAGTAGTAGCCAAGGAAACACTCAGGATCTGTCTAGCTCTAATGGCACACTATGACATGGACGTTCGACAATACGATACACCCTCGGCCTACCTCACTCAAGAACTGGATACCCTAGCTACATGCGAGTGCCGCAAGGATACGATCTCATCGAACATCTATTGGACCCGTCTCAGAGAAACTATACGAAAGGCACAAGCAAGGAGACACAAAGGTTGTATATAGAGTTGACCGCTGCGTATACGGTCTACCACCTAGCGGACAGTACTGGTTTAAAGCTATCAATCGGTTTGCTATACAACACAGTTATAAACAAGCACAATCGGATGGAGCACTGTTCATCAAACAAACATACAGTGGACCTTGTTTCATTATTGTGCACGTAGATGACAAAATTGCAGCATGCCAGAGTAAGACCGACGGACAGAAATTAGCTGACGCAATGAAAGGCGAATGGAACACTGTTGATATGGGCCTACCGTTGTGGTTTCTCAAGTGCCAAGTGGAAATACTTCCTGGAAGAGTACGTCTCCATCAACGACAATACCTAAGAGAAATATTGCAGAAATGGGGGTTGATGGATTGTAAACCAGCATTGGTGCCAATTCTAGAATCGGACTATGAAGTAACAGACAAACGCTTTCGTGGAACATGAACGAAAGCAAGTTGTGCACAAGGTCTATCAAGCAGCTTCAGTGAGAGCGGTAGTTAACGACCTCACTAGCGAACGAACTTTTTCCTAAGATAAAGGACTATACACACATATCTATGGAAGAATACCGGCATACAGTCAATCAACACATGTTCATATTGGTGGATCAATCCACAGCACAATATCAACTATGGGTTGATATAGAAATACGGCTTCTGGTCAGCCTAACATATCCAGATCAAATAAGACAAGACATTGGGTTTTAACTCTATTCAAAAAATAAATACATGCTCTTCCAATAAATTCAAAGTGTTCGAAATTCACTTTGATGGCTCATATATCCTGAGTAATTGATATGGCTCAATTTGAGACAACAGTAGGCTTAGGAAATTATGTACTACTGATTATTGCTTTCTTGTGAGTCCACGTCTGACTATTGTTTTCTTGTGAGC